CTTTTTTTTTTTTTTTGAGGCAAGGTCTCTCAGTGAACCCAGAGCCCATCAGTTGGCTAGACTGTCTGACTGCTGAATTCCTGAGGTCAGCTTTTCTCTTCCACCCATCCAACACTAGGGAGACAGATCTGTGTTACTTCACCCAGTCTTTTGTGTGGGTGCTGGGGTTCAAAACTCAGGGCCTCATGTCTGGGCACTAGGTACTTAACCCAATGAACTACCCTCCAGCTCTCTTACTGGTTCTGGAGACAGTTTGTCCCTTGAGCTTTCCAGCTGCTTGCCTCCTCTTCCATACAGCTGTGATTATATGTCATGCCCAACTAACTGTAAGTGTTGTTTTGTAGATGAGACATTTTTCTTCTTGAAAAGTTTTAAAAATAAACCCAATTACCAAAATATATAGTACACACCCACATGCCTACATAAAATGTTGACATTTTTCGTTTTTTGCTTCAGATATATATATTTAATATAAAAGAACTATGTATATCACAGTTACCACACTGAATTCTAAAAGAGCAATATAGCAACTTTGTACTTTATGTGAAGTTGCAATCTGCTTTGTTACCTCCAGTTTCATTCCTCGCCATCTCCCTTACCACTTTTTAACCTGTATAATGAATGTAGCATTGCTCTGGTGCCTAGATTGGTTTTCAGACAGGGCCTCATGTAGATCAGGCTGCAAGGAAGACAGTATTGGCCTTGAACTCCTGACTTCACTGTTCCTTCTTCCCCAAGCCTGGAGTTACAGTATTGCACCACCATACCCAGCTCAACTCTGAGTGCTGAGAACAAAGTATAATGACATCCTTATGAAAAATGCCATGATGAAACCCAGTACTTTGAATGTTAACCTGAAATTTTAATAGGAAAAGTAAGTGTGGTTTGAATCTTTGAAAACAGTTTTGAAATTGTGTTTTATGAGAATGAGTGTTTTACCAGTATGTATAACTATATACCACGTGCATGCCTGGTGCCTGCAGAGGCCAGAAGAGGGTGTTGCCCCCCCCCCACTGGAGTTACAGATAGTTATGAACCACAGAATGAGTATTGGAAACCAAACTCTACAAGGGCAGTAAGCACACTTAAACTGTTGAGCCCTCTTTCTAGCCCCCTTGGTTTAAATCTTGACTTCACCATTCAATGGTTTTATAGTTATTTAAACTATATCCTTAGTGCCCTTATCCTCTCAAATAGGATCAATAGAAATGTCCATCTCATAAGGTTTTCGTAAAAATTGAATCTATTTCCATAAACTTGAAAAAGCATTTGGTAGTTTGACTGAGAGCAGCTCCCATAGACTCTTACAGTTGAAGACTTCATCCACAGTTGGCGGAACTGTTTGGGAAAGATTAGGATGTGTGGAGTGTGTCGCTGGGGGTTGGCTTTGAGGTCTCAAAAGCCCATGCCATTCCCATTAGCTCTCTCTCTCTCTCTGCCTTGTGCTTGTGGATCAGATGTAAGCTCTCAGCTACTGTTCCAGCATCACCCTGCCTGCTGCCATGCTCCCTGCCGTGATGATGATGATGGATTTTAACCCTCTTGAACTGTGAGATTCCAGTTAAAGGTTTTCCTTTTACAATTTGCCCTTGTCATGGCAATAGAACAGCAATTAAGACAAATCATGTCAGCTGGGCATAG